CGCCGCTCGTCACGCTCGTCGCCGCTCGTCGCCGCTCGTCACCGCTTGCGAGCTCTGCTCGACTTCTCTCGCGAGTCGGCGGCGCACGCGAAATCCTCCGGTTACCCCTTTTCACCCTGACCTTTACTCTTTTTCCGCTTCTTTCCCCCGACTCTCGTTCTCTGCGGAATTCGTCTTTAAATTTCGATCGCGGCCAGTAAAACGCGGTTACCGTTACGGATACGATTACGATATCTGTTTTTATTTCGAACTCTCGTGATCGAGATCGACCGTTTCTACCCTACCCGTTTGCCACTCGCGAATTCACCTCTTCGAAATCCACCTATCCAATTTCCCGCACCATTTTCCCAATTAACCTTTTCCCTTTCGTAACACACAACGTCGCCTCCTACTTCGTTCAAACATATCTACGAATGCCTTTTTAATTCTTCGACATACGACATCTCGATCGTTACTCTCATCATTTACTTATCGGCGTATCCATTTCAACGTTAACTGTCATGAATCTCAGAAGTCGAAACGATTCTGATTATTCGCCGATCACGATGTACGTATAATTTGACTATCGTTTCGTGGTTGGTTCGTTCTTCGATCGATCCTGAACCGCAAGGTAGTTTGACAGTTGCTCGTTTCGAAGCGTACATCTGCCACTGACCTAGCGTCCTGCGCTCTCGATTCGGCTTTTCTCGGCGCGGTTCGGCTTCGTCCGACTCGATTCGGTTCGACTCGGCTTCCCGAGGAGCCATGCTTCTCTCTCGTTCACCGTAATCTCGCCGTCGACATCCGCCGAGGCGGCGTCGCGTCGTCCGCTCGGCTCGGCTCTGCTCGGCCGAGCTCGGTTCGGCTCGGTACCGCTCGATTCGGCTTCATTCAACACGGCCCGACTCGACTTGACAATTTCATGCTTCTTCGCACGGACCGATTCGATTCGTTAAGAATTTTCAACCGTCGCAACTCTGCAAATCGAACGTTCAAAATAGTCTTTATATCGACAAATCTCTGCGCGCACCGTTAACGCGATCATCGTATACGAAAATGGACAATAATTGAAATTTCGATGTGTCTATTGTATAGGTATAGATAGGATGGCAATGAAATTTCATTCTATTTTCTCAATTTCCTTTATTGCTGTAAGAAATAAAACACGGAACGTAACGACCAATGAAACGTTTTCACAGGGGAATCGCTGTTTCTTAATTTATATCTTCCAATTAAAACGCCAGATTAGAACATGAAAAATTTAGTGAGATCAAAGTTTCGAATCGCCGTTGGGACGCGATGTGTTATCGGAACTTTGAAACTGTTAACACGGTACTACTCTTGTATCGTGTCAGGAGCGCGTCGATATCGATATTGTTCCCCATTTATGACGCTACGTTTCGAAATATGTAAGTCAACGTGGGATCTGTAACACGCATTATTATATTTAAGGAAACTGTTCGGTATACTGTTGTTTGTTCGAGAACGATCATTTTTCGCTACGCGGGTAATCGTTTGTACTTACATAGATTAAACCTCGATGAAGTCATAGGTGGTTGGTACCGATCGCAGAATGTTGTTGTCCGCCACAAATTGTTTCGCGTACGAGACACTTGCGATCACTTTGTTCAGATATTTCTGTGCGCTCTCCAGAGCCTTACTCTCCACCAACTTTATAATCGAATTATGGAACTTTGACGTGATACGTTTAATTATAGCGTTCAAGATGGCATCGATCTTATGGCCTCTAAGAGTTAAGCTCACTTTACTGAAAACAAAAGAACGTTCAAGTTTCGGAAGAACATTTCGGAGCTGTCGAAAAAATGAACACGAACGTTTACGCGAAAACGGTGATACCTACTCGAGTCTGACAACGTTGACGGAGCGCAGAGTAACGGTTTTCTTGGACAAGCACGCATCCGCGATTATCTTTATTTCGATGTTGTTGAAACGTCCATTCAGCTCTCCACTCCTCGAGATCAAGAAACCCTTGTACCGGTAGTCGAAGTTTGCCTGAAAATGTTTATGAAACGTAACATTTTTCGCGTCGCAGTTGAAATATCGATCGGTATTTTTTCAGCTTACGTCGAGTATATCGAATCCAAACGTTGCGTCCAAAGTGTAACTTCCGTCTTCGTTGGGAACTACGAGAGCATCATTTGTTCGAGTTATATCCGATAATCCTTGAAGCTGTCCATTCGTCAAATCGATAGATTTGCCGCCTATGATTACACCTTGCTGCAAAAGCAAGAGCCAACGCTCGAATTCAACAAAATCGGGACAATCGAAGAAAAATTATCCGGTAATACGCGTAACGAGTATAATAAATACCAAACTCTCGTGTATGTCGTCCAATTTCAAAGGGTCCAAACCTCCCGACAGTATATGATCACGAATCGTGGGCAATACGGTGTCGACTATCGCGCTGATGTTCAACGTTCTACCGTAAGTGGTAATGTCCTGACTGCGAGAAGAAAAGCAGAATTTGAATTTTCATCGAATTCGTTTCCAATGGAAGCAACGATATTCGGTGTAGAAAACTTACTTGTCATCGAGCAGATTCGCGTGGCCGGTGACGAACAACGCCGAAACGAGAAGTAAAGCGAAAAATCGAATTTGAGCTGCCATGGTGCGTCGATGGATCCGAACGGTCAATCGTCAATGGTTCGACTATTCCTCTTCGATCCGACTCCTCTTTTTTATTACTACTGTTCGACGCATTATCCGATAGTATCTTATCTTCAACAACTTTTATGAGCATTATCGTTTTCATTCTCGAGTACTCCGACCAATTAATCAAACACAATCTCGCGCATTGTAGGATGCTGAGAAGATAAAAATCATGCGAAATTTGAAAAATTTTCAGATTTTATTGAAAGAAAACTAGTCCAATATACAACGCAATTTTTAGCCGACCGAAGCCGTTCTTTTTACATCGAGCATCTCGATAGACTCGTCGTGCCGTGTTAGACGCGTCATGGAGATTTACGAGATTCTTGGAATAGCCATTTTATGCCACGCATTTCGCACGCGCTATTTTACTAATTGGTAAACATTGATTTACCAATAATTCCGAAGCGGAACGCTAAACGCGGTTACGCTCAACTTTGTTCGCTTTAAGGAGAAGTAAGCAAGAATGTTGGGCCGCTGGAACACGTTACGTTCACGAAATATTAACGATATCTGTTCCACTCTTAAAACATAGTCCGTTATCGCTTCATAGTGTGCCGTACACGCATCCATACGCTCTTACGACCGTTATTGTCCTAGCACCTAGAACGAAGCTCCTTTCATAAATGAGAAGCAAAATTTCTAAATTGGAACGGGATTCCAAGGACAAATTGTCGCGTTTATCCGGTCGAAATGTGTTCGAAGAGACGCCGATACTTGTTCTTCGATCAGCTTTATCAACGCATTTTTAATTACAAATGCTCCAATATTGCAAAATGGCGTAATCAGTTGTTCCGTTAAAGTGCTTCCTTGAATCCAGATAGTAATGGATCTGTGAAAAAAAGATTATTTACAATAGCGTGATCGAGTGATCGGCACGCATTATCGGAAGAAACACTATCGTTCTAAATGGAAGAAAGTTGCCAATGTTTTTTGCGCATTGCGAACTGTACTCGGAACAAATTTATTAAACTTTCTTTGAAAAGTAAAAAATAGAATGTCCTACGGAAACGGTAAACTCGTGAAACGAATCAGTGTTCGCGGATTTCCTATTTCATTGTTCATGATTCTGACAAACATTTTATGCAGTAAATCCTACTGTCATATTTTATCGTAAACGATCACCAATTGATTATATTATAATACGATGTATGTATAAATTATCTAAAGACGCGCGATGCGATCAATCTGATATTGTCGGATGATACCGATCGCGAATATTGTGACATCTGAAAAACCTTTTAGCAAATACGATTTGAAAGGTGATAAGTTAAAAAAGGAAACATCGACTTAAGAGCAATAATAACTATAATATTTGGCAAACTTCTCCAACATTTATAATTACGTATCGAGAAAGGGATAGTTCGATCGCATACTTGATATCGGTTAGTTCGATCGTCTTTAGAGTAACTCGACAAGTGAGAATATCGAAGTTGAGTTTAACGTTGGCCCAAATCGAACTCGCATCGGCGAATATTTTTCCCCGTTGTTCCAAAAGGAGTACTTTTACGAAATAATCGTAGGTGAGCTGTGTCAAAGCGAAAAGAAAGAAATTGTTAAATTTTTTCTATCGACAGCAAAGAATATATTCGATTATAGTTACCAGAACGCTGTCAAACGCGATGTTTGCGTCGATGGTTAACGTTTGACCCGTGTACGCGACAGTAATGGCACCGTAACGCTCTAATCTCGATAAATAGTGCATCGACCCCGAAGAAAAAGAATACGTTAATTCGGTGTATATCGCTGGTAGGAACAACAATGACTGAAAAGAAAAAAACACGTAAAGCATTCGATAAATAACGTACAACGTTTCGGTCTGTTCTGCCTTCTACTTTATATTACTTTTGCGAATACCACAAAAACATGTCGTTAAGAGCAAGGTGATCATAGCTGCACCGTTGAATCCGCAGTTTCAATGCCATAAAAATCTGGCGGAAAAGACAGGTAAGTAGTTAGCAAACATCTGGTAGGAAAGAAATAAATGGGTCCCTATACAACGGTCATCCTCGAGCAGCGATTGACCCGAAACAACGAACACGAAGGCCTCGTGATGGCCTCGGGAACGGTTCGTGAGTCATCGAATCGTAAAGCATACAGGAAAACGTGCTAACTCGACAAAAAAACATACTTCGCAAATTTCACTCATCTGGTACACAGCTGCGAAAAAGAACCGTTGACCGCTTCAAATATTTTCAACGATTCTAATATACCTGCTGGATTTACGAATCTATTATGCTGTAACAGCTCGAGTACCGTCATTCACCATTTTTTCTCCAGATTTCTTCTACTTTTCGAGGTCACCCTGCCGTCCTTGTTTCTCCATCATTCATCAAGCAATTAATTCTACATGTTATCGGAATAATAAATTATCGATTGTCAATAAAGTAGCGGAGAACTGATTAATCAAATTCTTCGTATATCTTTGTTCGATCTTCCTTTACGTAATCGATCAAAATATAATAGTTGCGACTATAATCGGTATAATCGTGTTTATAACGAATTACGTCACGAATCGTAAGAACTTGTTCAGTTTGTTTTTCCGCAATCAATGTTTGAAAAAAAATTGTTAATCGAACGAGCAGGTGCAACGATACGAAGATAAGGTTTAAATTGTATCTTCAAGAGGCAATAATTAAAGAAATTAGTTAATCGACTGTGCTTTCTTATCTTTCCTTATGCTTTATTTTAAATAAATAACTTTATTTTTGCACAAATCACGATTAAGGCGCAAATACCTCGTCGAAGATCACGGAACATCGGTCCACCTAAAAATCATAGTTTCCTTCTAATTGCAATTGCAACGAATCGTGTTTCTTTTATCCTGTACACGCGAGGAAGAATCGTATATTTGAAATAGAGTATACGTATGTTTTAACCTGTACGGCTAAGAACGGTCGTATAAAAGTATCTGGACGCGACGCCGGCAGAACTGGTGACGTCACGCAACAACGCTGGATTCTGAAATTGCCAGAAATTTATTTATAATTTTTTTAAACAAATAGCTGGAGTATGCCGATGGAATCCTTAACCTTAATAAGGTTCATCGACCGAGATCCGACGCGCGGCACGCCGTTCTCGCTTCACTTTCGTTTTCATTCGTTCGTCGAGTTGTTCAACGTTCGTTTATTTCGCTTTCGTTGATCCGAAGGTTCCCGCGTTCGCTTTCACGCACTACTGTCCCATTGATCTTGAATCTCGTTTTCGACCCCGTGACCCACTTTTTCGACGCGTTAACGCGCGTTACCGTTCAGAACCCGATCGAACGTACCGGGAAACGCGCATACAGTGGCGTTAACTCCACAATCTGTTCGACATCTTCTATTCTTTTGTTTATACGACTGTATTTACGCGATATAATCACGGACAAATAAGAATAATAGGAATTTTTAACCTGTTTCGGTCTTTTTAATAAAACGTACTTACCCGTTTCTGTAATATATATATTTATAAAAAAATCATTTAGTTTACACGCGTTTTCTTATCCGCTACTGTACGTATACATACACCAACGATCCAGTAACTTTGAGCAGCGTCCGGAATCGTCAATGGATCCATCTCGTTTTCGGCGATAAAGTTCGATACCAGAGGTAATAAATGATCGGCATAATCTGTCAGATTGACTCGAAACCATTCTTCTAGGTGAGCCTCCGAATCCAAGTTTTGCTGGGTAGAAGATACGAAAACGACTGCCACGACGACGCAACGAAGAAAGGCCTGTTTGATCGAAGAAAGCAGTTTCTGTCGCATTTCGGTATCGTTTGCTCGCGAAAGATTCACGAAACGAAAGCAATCACCTCGATTTTATTTTGCCAGGAGCACTATTTCTTTCGAAAAACTAATTTTTCGGTAAAATTAAAGCGCGGTATCGTCGTTATTCGTTGCCTCGTCGCTTCGAACAGGTTGCATTTTTTGTTACGCAAACATGCCGATCGATAGATCGAAACGTTCGTAACTACAATTAGCATTGTTATCTACAAATAGGACGGTTCTGTTTTTAAATATTCGTTATCGATCGAACCGAGCGTGGAGAACGATATCTCGAAGGCGAGCGCGGACTCGAACCGTGTCGCGATTACTCGGCGAGAAAAACGATTCTCCGATATTATCGACGTAAACGAGCACCGTTTCTTTGTTACGTGGTGCCCTCGCGAAGATCATAAAACATTTACTCGTAAGGTAGCTACCTTAACGGCGTTTGTTTATTCGCCGTTAGACCGAACGAGTAAGCGAACGAACCGCCGCGATAAACTATTGGCAGAGATCGACTACCACTTTCCTTGGCAGAAGCGGACAAACAGCTAGAACGCTTCGAACGAGTAGCGAATGAACGGACGAAAACAAACGAAGCAAAACATGGTCGGTTCTTTAATTTATGATGGGAAAAACAATTAGACGCGGCGCGAAGATTTATCGCGTTATTTTTACCCTTTCCCTCGCCTTTACGGTATAGGAGTAACGCGGCAGCTAGCTAACATCCGCGTCAAGTAGATAAACACACGGGATCAACAACAACATCGTTGTTTACCGCGACACGCGGATACAGCGCACAGGGAAGTACGTATCATTTAATTATAATGTTCGATACGACAAACGCTTTCGTCGTTCGTCGCACATGTATCTACGCGTTATCGATTAACCTACGCAACAGTTCGTTAAGCTTTCTTTTCTCTTTCCACGATTTTCGTATCGGTCTGTTTTTTCGGCCTTTGTTTTCGAGAATCTCCTATCGTTCGTCGCGCAACGTATTTCGATCAGTCGAGAAACAGTATTTTCGAAACAATCAAAGTCTCGAATTCGACTTATCGTAAATAATTATTTTGTTTCGATAACAGCAACAACGCGTCAACGTCGGTCACGAAACTCGACAGAGACAGGCTTCGCGACATTGAAATTTTGTCGAATTAATGAACGGTTTCGACGACACGATAGTTCGCGTGACAACGCGGACGTCGAAAACACGTTACCTTGCCAATTCTCTAACTCTATTCTAATATTTTCCTGCTATCCCTCTCTCTTTCCCCGACCGGTTGATTCTAGTGTTTGTCGACACGCGACTAAGCAAAACATTAACCGCAAAAACAAAGTTGTTTTCCTAGCGGCGTTATTCCTGTATCGTCGTTCCGGTTCCCCGAACCTCCTGTACGCGTCACGATTCGGCAAACAGGTCTTACTCCTCCAATGAGAAAGCTCGAGTCGATGAATGTAACGTATCTGTGTCGTGACGCGTCGCTCTATTACCTGCTCGAGGCTCGATTGCGAAATCCGTTTGTTTTTCCGTACGCGATCGCGTACGTTTATCGGACTAATCTTCGCGATCGTAATATACCGACATTCGAAAGAATGAAACAGGTTCTTCCACGGCCTTTGTCGCGCTACCGTGTTTTCCCACAGTTGTCGATCATTGATTTGCAACGCTAATTACGCGTGCTCCTTCTCTTTCGGTTCAAGGTGATCGTTACGTTAAGATCGACGTTCGGGTCAAACAACTCGACACGCGAAAGAGAGAAAGAGTATACCTTTTGATCGGCAGATACGATTCATTCCCGCGCTTTTCTCCTTTTACGCCGCTGAACGTTCGAATGAAACCATAATGTCTATACGCGTTTTCTTTTTTTACCGGAAGAAGCACGAAAAAGTGGAACGAGGAAAGAGAGGAGAGGTAAAGCGATCCAGGTGAAATTCGATCGAATAGACCTCGTTAGCGAAACGTCGAAAACAATGTGTTTTTTCTACAGCGACGCGGTTATCACGGTCGTAGATACGCGGTAGTCAGCGGCCAATCTAGGTCAACGATCCGACGCGTTTCGTTTCCTTTCCTCTCTTTTCCTCGTGACGACGCTCTTTCTCCCTAGAGGGCGGAGGAGGCTCGACCGCTGGTCCGAGTTCGAAACACCAATCAGAAGACGTTTAACTGGCGAAAACACGGGGCACGCACGCGTTTTCTCCGTCTCAGCTGCGCGTTTACGCGATCCGCGCGTATATTCAGCGAGCATTCGCGCGACCACGATAAAGTAACGCGCGTTCTAACCGAGAGAGGTTCGGGCATCTCTATTCTTTAGTCGTTGCGCTGCTTCGGTGCTGTTCGGTCGCTCGCGTCAATTGGATTTACGCGAGTCCCCTCTTGTCTACGTTCGCGGAATTCGCTGCATCTTCGATACTCGACTCGTTCGTTTCCGAACCTTTTGTCCGTTTCGTCGCGCGTCTCCGGTTTGGAAAAAAGAAGAGAACGACGGAATCTTTTGACGGTACTCGCGATCGGGTAAGTAGCGTCGACGCGTCTGCTACGGTGCGATCGAATCTCCATTTTCGCGTGCAGTAACGAACGGTACGCGCATATGAATGAAAACGCGAGAGCGGGAGGCGCGCGCTTACGAGAGCCGTTTGCCTTCTTTATCTTCGCGCGTATCGCTCAGATAATTCGCGCGACTTAAACGTATCTTTGCGTCACTCGACCACGCGTTGCATCGAGTCTACTAGTTAATTCTGTTCGACTCTACGTATCGTAAACAGGACTTTTAGAATATGTCAAATTGTCCTTGACTATTACGTCGTTTGGACGACAGACGCGCAAGGAACGGTGATTTGTAAATGGAATTTAACGTGGATGCGCTTATGCGCGTACAGTTAAAAGATTTAATGCGTTTGTCGGTAGCGAAGCTCGGCACTTTGATTAAAAAAGTGTTCCTTCGGGTTGCGAGAATTAACTCGAAAATATAATGCTTCATTTTAACGGCGTAAAATTTCATATTACTTATTGCGAAATTTAACGTTAAAAGTATTATTGTAACCGCATGGTATCGTCATGTTTCGAGATAACAAATTAAGAAGCGTATCGTCGTTAGCTCTTTATTGTTACGAAAGCAGAAACGGAAGATTATCCGTTTTTAATTACGCGGACGTTTTCGATATCGACTTTTGCCTCGGGCTCGGACAAACGTTAGAGTCCGCTCCTCTGACTCATCGTCAGGATTCAACGTAGAAGGTAAAGATCGAGATTCGCGTCGAAAGGAACAGGTTAATTCGATCGCGAAAGCAACGTGACGATGTTTACAATCGGGAAGTAGGAAAAAAACAGGAAGGATGGTTTTGCACGAGTTAATTGGATGTCTTGGCTCGTGCCGTTTGGCACTGTTTCCGATAGGATTCACCTACACGGTTTCTCTCCCTCGTTCTCGCTTATTTTCGTCAAAAGCGGCAGCTCGAACGAAGCTCAAGGCCGCCGTTCGTTATTCATAATCCCAAATTTCCTCGAGATTTCCTGTGTCCGTTTTTGCTTTTCTTCGAATCGAGGTTGAACAGCGATTCGAAAATTTCTACGAGGTAGACGAGATACGCAAAGTTCAATGTTAAGTCCACGGCCGACGAATCGACCTGGACGGAGGCCAACCGTACGAAATTTCGATATCTTATCCGCGAATCGTTCATCTCTTTACACTGTTGGACCATTCAGCGAAAACAAGAGTGACGGATGAAGCGATTAGTCCGTTTGAAAATGGGATTTAACGAGCTTCTATTTAGAAGCGATACCTATTCTTATGAAATTCTGTTCGAACGAAAAACACGGAAACCACAACTTGGAACTCGCTATCGCTCATCCGCTCTTCGGAAGCGCTGTGAAACGATTAAGAGACGAGGATAATTTGTTGCGAGCCGTGTGCCCGAGATACATTCCATCGGGCTCCGATTGGTATCCAGTAGCAGGCTATTCGTGTGACACGCGAGAAAATCTGTGGAAAAAGAAGAAAAGGACCGCACACGCCCGTTCTTGCGCGAACTCGTATCTTGCGTAGTTAGACGAAGTGCAATGAACTATAACCAACGCTCGGTCATAGTTACATATACATATGCATAATAGCACCGCCATGCGTACACGGCATATTACATAGTACCTTGCAGTAACGTATCGGTTGCTTTATCGTAAAACGAGGAGATCGAAAGCATGAATCGAAAGCAAAAGGAACAGAAGTGTCCCAGGAGAGTCGGAATGACCTGGTATCGAGCAGCAGCTGCGGTCCGCGTTCGCTAAACGATTACTTTCGCTCGTTGCTTTTACGTCATTTACCGTACATGCTATATACCGCGTTGAAACGGGCTTTTTCGCCTGGTAAGGCGAAGCGAAATTAAACCGCTCTTACGGTACGTTGCGTAAACGCGAATCCTCGTAATCCGATGGTTAGAGGTTATGCACCGCGCCTCTGTATTCGTACGAACAAATCGTGGTCTGAGAATATTTCATCGTTCGAATACGAAATTCTTCCGAACTGTCTACGAATACGGAAAAATGCAATTTCTTTCTAAAAGAAAAAGATATACGATAAATGACACATTCTAAGATTCATTAATTCGGTACGATGACGTTTGCATAAACTATACCGCAACTAGAAAGCGATAAGCTTCTCGAAGGGAAGGGGAAATTGTATGATTGTAAGTTACGTGACTCGATTCTAAAAGAAAGAAGAAGAAACCAGTTTTTTCAGATTTTTTCTCCTCGAACTCCGAAATTTCCATTTTAGTTTCGTGGTTTTCGCTCGAATGTCATCGAGTTTGATCATAGCATACTTTCGGGATAACGTGGAACGATTCGAATTCTACTTAACGACACACGTCGTTTGCGATATCGTGTGTTCGTAGAAATCGTTGGTCGAAACGCACCGTTTCTTCCCGGAAACAGCTGTTTCGTCTTCTCTCCCTTTCGAGGAGAGAAAGAGAACTTGCCTCTTCGATCACGAATTCGCTTTGACTCGTTTCGAGCGAGAAAAGAATGATAAAATATTGACGCTAAGCAAAGTTTGCGATTAAGCCGCGATCAGTTGTTAGGAACTAGCGATGAATCGTTGATCTCGACCTTTGGAACCGCTGAAACACGTTAACGCGTAAGTGTACTAAAATCCAGGCAGAAACGTTCTCGCGTGATCAAACGTATCCCCGAGATGCTACCGATTTAATAAGAGAACGTTCGCTCGAACGAAAGAGATTCGCTTTGCAGTCGAGAACTTTGACGATATAATTCTTTGAACGATCGTGATAACGCGTACGTGATGTTTGTCACTGATCGAAATGTTAAACGTTAAATATGTTTAGGCCTGCCACGTCAAAATGTCAGTGAAAAAGAGCAAACGAACAAAGTAAACAAAAATATCGTTCCGGAATATTCCGAACAATTTAGAAAACGTACTATTTCAATGATCGAGCTTCTTGAAATTCGTCCAACTGTCTGTCACGAAAGCGGGTTCGTTCCTTTTTAGTTACGCAAGCTCGAATCGTTTTATACGAAATCTCTATCTCGAAAATTCGAACCGACAGCCCAACATTCGGCACTGTATCCTAAATTTAAATGAAATTATCGCGTCGATTAATCGGGACAAAGTGTAATCCTTCGTTTAAAATATCTGTCTCGATTCGGAGATTTTCCATTCTTGGAATCACCTTGGACGGAACGCTATACGTTGAATCTGCTGTTTTCGTAAATGAATATTGTTCGAAATTTACGCGCAACCCGTTTCTATGATCTAACGAACGTGGTGTAAATGTTTTATAAGAGGAACTTGGTAAGACGATAAAACGAATTTTACTTTTTGCCGTTGGTATCGTTGAAACGTGTTGAAAAGGTTGCACGCGGTGCTCGCGTGCGCAACCAACCGACGCGACGCGCCAATCCAACGTCGATTCTTCCACGTTTACGATTACCTAACAGTTTAAATGATAATATAACCCTACTTAATACCGTTACAAAATCGTGAATGCATGTTTTTGTACGTTACTTTTTCTCTTTCGAGAGAATAATCGAATAAACAATCACGTTAATGTAACAAATGCAACAATTACCGTGAATAGAACAGTACAGAGATTAACATACTTTAGTTATTTTTACGACGTTTATTCGCTTGAAGGTTCAACGATAATTAATTTTGCGGGAACAGCGATAAACGCGTTAAATATACATCGCGTTTCGTTTTTGTTTCGCAAAATAGAAGCGAGTTTACATAATAGACAATTTTTTTCTGTTCTCGCATTTGTAGGATTTCGTTATGTATCGTAATTCTATAGGGGTTAAAGGATTTTCTCGAACGACGTTCGTCACGTAACGCTCTTCAGAATTCATATATTTTATCGAAAGCTTACTTTCGATTAATTCCTTTGGCGAATTCCTTTGTTTCGGGAGGTCGGTCATTAAAATTGCTTGTTACGTCGTAAATGAATGGCGCGTGATGCAACGAATGTCGAATACAATTAATTCGATTCGTTAACGACTACTCCACTTTCTTTCTTTTTTTGTTACAGATTTGGTGCGATTCAAAGGACGCGCTAGCGGCACACTTGGTCACGTGACAGTGGTTCTTATTGACCGACGTGTATCGAAACTCTGATTGGTTGGGAAGCCACACGTGACCCGTTTTAACGTCAACTTTGACTACCGTCTGCTGGTAGTCGGGTGGATTTCTCAGTAAACCATCTAAGAACAAAGAATTCGCATTTTGCTCGAGTTACGAGTGTATTTTGTTAGATGGATCGTATCGTTCAGCGAACTAAAACTTGTACTCGTTAGTCGTAATCTTTGGTACGCGTTCTGTGCGGTGAACTTGTCCTGTTCGAACTGATAGCCCGGCTTCGAATCCTTGACAGTTCCTTACCATTTCGAGGCAGTGACGGTTCTGCCGTGGAGCCGTTAACATTTCGTTCGAGCGCGTTTTGATCGCGATCTTCGATTCGTTTTGATCAAAAGCGTTCGATTTCGTCAATCTTGTGAGGTGTCGTTGCGAAACGATATCTCGATATGGTTAAGTAAATTTTCAAACTCGGTATATCTGGATTTCACCTCGGAATATCTCTCGAGAGATACGTCCCTTTATTCTCGCGGTAACTTTGAAATATTTTATTACACTTTCGCCGTTGCAACGCGGTGAAATTTGTCGAAAATATATTTGGGAAGTGGTTGTACCATACGTGAATTTAAGATGTACAGTATGAACTACATTGGCAAGTTTATAAGTAATTTTCGTGATTTCTATAATGAAATCAACGCAGCGACGCTCACCGGTGCTATCGATGTCGTCGTTGTTGAACAACCGGATGGATCATTTACTTGTTCACCCTTTCACGTTCGCTTTGGGAAACTCGGTGTTCTACGATCTAGAGAAAAAATTGTAAGTTTTGGCTCATTTTTATCATGCACGTACATAGTTCATCGTATTAAACTATCTTCTCTTAATGATATGTTGCAGAAAATTCTAGAATGACAATGACAGTATTCACCTCGCGTTGAACTTTTACAATAAATTGTTTTGAACTTTGTTTTCATATCTTATCTTTCATATTTTATCTTCCATATTTTATCAATCAGTTATTTCTGCATACGTAAATCTACTTTTAAATATATTAAGTTAAGGTGTTACAAGAGCGTATCAAATTGTTTTTTAATAGGTGGACATAGAAATAAATGGAGAACCTAGACAAATTCACATGAAATTGGGAGATTCGGGAGAAGCTTTCTTCGTCGAAGAAGTCAGTTCCGATGGCTCTCCAACCGATACAGAAATTCCACCGCATTTGGCTTGTTCACCCATTCCTGATGACAACTGTTTTCCACCATCTAGATTCAATCTTCTTTCCGACCTACCTCCCGAACAAAGGGACAAGATTCTCATAGAATCTGTTTTATCTATAGAAAGAGAAAAATGGGAACAAATGTCGGCTTTGCCAGCAGATCAAAGAGAGAAATTTTTAATCGAGCAGTTTTCTGATCTTCCTGCAGAGCATCGTGCAAAATGGCTTCAAATTGCATCATTAACTCCTGAAGAGAGAGAAGAAATGTTTAAAGAACATTTCGACGATGTATCTACGCTACAAAAGCAGCAAATGATATGCGAACAATACTCTGCTCTTAAAAGCGAGGAAAGAGAGAGATTATTCAAAGAAAATTTTCCTGAACTACCTGCGGACCAAAGGCAAAAATTTGAAAAAGCTCTGTTAAGAGATTGGAATACCAAAGGAGAAAAACATGATACCCTAAAGAACGAAGAAGAAATCTTTGATATGGATGGTATTAATGACGATGAAACATCTCCAACTCCGTCAACTCCAAAGTCCTTTGTGGCTGTAACTTCGACCGCGAGAATTCGCAAAATTAGCGTAGTGAAGAATGATTTTAGGCCAATCATAGAAGACGTGCAAAGCAGCGGTAAAGAAAAGTCGAGTGACGAATCGAATGTACCGACAAATAAAAAAAATTCAAAAGATGAAAATGTCGATGAAAGTAAGAATAACAGTTCGGCGAAGAGGAAACGAAAGAGGAAAAGTATCATGAAGAAGAAGGGATCTCAAAGAAAAACTAGCAACGGTAGCAGTAGTCAAACAGAAATGAGCGAGAACGATGCATCGATTCCGGATGAATCTCTCAGCGAATCTGTAAGTTGTTTAATACAGAAATTATAATCGTACGTTTCAGATTGTCCATTCATATGTATGAATCGATTAAAGATGTTAAAGGAATCCAGTCCAGTTGGAGAGTTAGAAAAAAAAAATGCTTCTGCCGAACCAGTGGAGATCTCGCTACAAGAAACTACAGAAAAACGGCCGGAAACGGATTTTCATTTCTTCAGTGATACCGAAGTTACGAAGTAAGTTTGACATTGTCTATACTTATAATTTCTATGTTCCATGTACACGTTTATGTTCGCACATAATTCGCGAAAAGCGAATGCAAAAAATTTATTTGCGTACAACATTAATGTTTGCGATTCTTTATTGTCATCGTATTTAATAGGAATCAGGATTCTAGGCCATGCTCACCCGTTCAGTCTGACACAGAATTTGAGATGCGAAAAATTACTCAAGAAGGCGCGGAACGAGAAGAAGAGAAAAGTCATCAACAAAGCTGGAGATGGGGTGAACTACCAAGTTTACCTCCAGAATCAACGCATCCGTCTCATAGGAGTTCAATGAGTTCATCGAGCGCAGTAAATCAGCCAAATAACAGTTAGTAGTTTTTTATACGTATAAAGATTTCATAATTATCGTACATTTATCTATTTTAGACGAGGATTAATACCTTTTAATAAGCATACTTTGATACGTTCTAAATTAACAGTTTATTAATCATTGTTTGCACGATAGCGGAAGCACATCGATCTATGCTTAGCGGTATGTTCTCGTTTATGAAGAAAACTTCTCGCGTCAGACACAATCCAGAGTCGGAAGGAATTTATCTTAGCGACCTTAATGCCGACGAACTGGATCCAGAAGTTGCAGCTCTCTACTTTCCTTCTTCTCATAGAGGCTCAACAGCCGTGAAGGGTATATCGTTTGTTTTAAAATACATATTTTTTTTTCTATAGAAACGGATTATTAATTGTCCTTCATAATCATAACAATAACAAAATATGTGATTTATACGAACTTTATATAAAATCTACATGTAACAATGTTTCTTTTTTCAGATCGTAAAGGAGTAGACGAAGAAGATACCGAATCTGGTAATGGTCCGAGCTTACCTCAAAGTCCAAACAGTGTCGAGGGTGCCATTGGTGGACCAAAGTCGCTAGACAGTGATTTCGAAGAACCAAAACATTCTATATTCGATAACAACATGGATATCAGTTTATCCTTATGCGGTGGTTTAGATTCTGAAACTGGTCCATCTAAAGAGGCTTTTCGTCAAAATTTACTTCATTTCGAAGATATTTGTTCCGATCCAAAATTATACGAAAATCCAAATTTAGTAGTAAAAATTAATGGAAAGTACTACAATTGGACTACCGCTTGTCCAATAGTGATGACGTATGCTGTTTTTCAAAGACATTTACCACAAGGTACAATTGAAAATTTGTATGCACAATGCATGCCGTTACCTTTAATGCACGAAGAAAAAAAGCAGGAAAATATTGGCAAGCCTGAAGGTCGTAGTGGTTATAGTTCATGGTTTTCATGGAGACGTTCCACGCAACCGCCTAAAAAATCTCAGGAGCTTAATCAGAGTAAGACGCGTTAATATTTAATTTCGTTCTATGTTTTTTATAGCAGCAGAGGTCTTCAAAATTTTCACTTTACGCGTTACAGCTGATGGAACCACTGTACAAACTTCAGAACAATTGATCGATACGAAAGAGAACACACCAATAGATGAAACGCCAATTAGAGAAACTAAGACTGATCAGAACACAGAAGCTACAGCTATTACGGAAACGATAGTACAACGTCAAAAATTAACGAAGGATATGTCCAAACCTGAGAAAAACCACGAAAGGGAAGGTGAAGGCTACAGTGGTAGCGAGGATTCCGATAGCAATCAGAATGAATCGCAAGGAGTTAAAATACCAAAAGAAAGGAGATCGTACTACGAATCTACTGAAAAATATCGTAAAACCTTAAGATTGTCATCTACTCAAATAGTGCGTAGAATTTATTAAATTGTAACATACAATAACAAACAACGTAGTAATGTTCTTGTTATACATCAATTATCGTGTCTATTTTTTTTCAGGCAAGTCTTAATTTGAAAGACGGAGCTAACGAAGTTGTTTTTAGCGTGACGACAGCTTATCAAGGCACGACTCGTTGTAAATGTCATATTTACAAATGGAGATGGGATGACAAAATTGTTATTTCCGATATAGACGGAACAATTACGAAATCTGACGTATTGGGTCACATTCTACCGATTGTTGGTAAAGATTGGGCTCAGTCAGGTGTTGCTCAGTTATTTACAAAAATTAAAAATAACGGCTATAAACTGCTTTATTTATCCGCAAGAGCGATTGGACAAGCTAAAGTTACGAGAGAGTACCTGAAAAGTATTAGACAGGGAGATTTATCGCTTCCCGAAGGACCGTTGCTTCTAAATCCAACGAGTTTAATTTCAGCATTTCATCGTGAAGTCATTGAAAAGAAACCCGAAGAATTTAAGATATCGTGTCTCAGTGATATTCAAGCTTTATTCCCGGAAGGTTCGAAGCCCTTCTACGCTGGTTACGGCAACCGAATTAATGTAAATATTTCTTTATTTATTTTCTTATTTAATAGTAGCATGTCTCTTTAAAGTAAGAACGAATATTATCAAATCATTGGTCCCTTTTAGGATGTTTGGGCATATCGAGCTGTAGGAATTCCTACTATGCGCATATTTACTATAAACCATAGGGGAGAATTGAAACACGAATTGACACAGACATTCCAGTCATCGTAAGTACCCGTATACATTCCTTTTACACTATTTATACTAACTTATATTCAACAATTGTACAAGAAATTACATAAAACTTATGCTTGTACAACAATTTATATAAGATTTTAAGTGCTTCACTTCAGAAGTATATATTATTGTTATTTTGAACGTGACAGTGAATTTTGTCGAAAAAAAATTAAAGTCTTTATAGCCTGTTGCATGTTAATTTCTTTAGTTTAGGAACAGTAGGTACACATTAGTGTATGTTAAAATGGATGAGATTTAATTTGTTAATTAGCATGTTTACGATCATTTTAATGCAAAAGAGAACATGTCTAATTTCGTTTAACAAAAAAAAAAAAGGGTGGAATATTTTACAAGAAAGGAAGATGCGTTTATCATGTTGGTAATTGAGAAGGAAAAGATATTGATGGGTCGGGTGTTTCTGTGATTGCAGTTACGCATGTCAGTGCGATATCGTCAATGAGTTATTCCCGCCACTGCCCATGCGAAACACCTACTGATGGCGACACAACCATAGCTGTTTCATTTTATTAGTACAATTAATAATGTTTCGATAGTAACAATTAACAGTATATTCGTGCCATTGGTACTGCGTTCGATTCATTAGAATTGGTAACATTTACTACCTCATGATTGGAATATCGTTCCATATACATATTGTATTTTGTTTAACAATTTTATGAATCTATGCTCTGACTCTAAAGTTCTATGATAACTTGACGTTATGGTCAGTAGTACACGCACTAAAGATTTATGTAACATAACATATTTCTATACATATTTATATGTATCTGATAGTCTGTGCGGTGTACAAAATAAGCAGACGTAGAAAACGGTACACCTATAAGTAGACATTAGAAACATTTCCAATGGCAATTCTTTTATTTCTCTTTTTAAATTCTTTTTTTTTATGAAGGCAAATTAGAAGTTTAGCTTATTTTCTTAAGTGAATATTATTAGAGTTATGCTTTGAGGTATTTGGTTGTGCAAGAACTTCTACCTATCTTCTTATAATTTATAGGGTAAGCACTCGTTCTTACACAACTGCTTTTAATCATTTCCATTTTCATTAGTTTATTCATCTTAAACAATCCTAATCTTTAATCATTTTCCTGAAGGTTGGGCATATGGAATGAAATTGCCGTCGAAATTAATAATTTTATTTATATTTATTTGAAAACTGTTAATATCTTTTATATGTGTTACTGTAGTGCAAAAGTTTGAAGCTTGTTATTACCGCGTGTTACATAGTTTTCCTCATCTTTTGTCTTTTTTTTTTAATGCACGAATATTCAACCAAGTACTTCGAACATACAACTTTTATTTTACACTCCCATTATTTTCCCCCTGAACAAAACACAAATTAATTATAGAATTCCCAAACCGTAGCACTTTACGTATTCGAATTTGGAGATAATTGGTGCAATAACAGAACGAAAATTTTTACTAAAAACTCGTTCGTTACGTGTGATAACACAATACTTGTACATCTTATCCAGTTCAGTGAAATATTTAATATTGACCCCTACTATCATGCTCGTTGACTTTCATCAGCGAATATCTGGAACGTTAACGCACGTATTCTCAATTCGTTTATATTATTCTTTCAGATACTCAAACATGAGCTTTATCGTCGATCATCTTTTCCCAGCTTGGAGAGAAGACGCAGCGGACGAATTTAGTCATTTCGCGTATTGGCGGGATCCAATACCGGAAGTACCGCCACTCGAAGAGCTTTATACTCAGAAGCAAATTATTTAGGCAGAAATGCGCGCTTTTTACGTTAAACTAGAATAGTATTTTACTCGTAATTCGATAACGATCGTTCGTATTTAATCACCTTTTATACTCTGTGTGGTAATCGATCATAGTGTTCTTGACTAATGCGACTTGTAATCGTTTCTATATACTGGATAATCGTATCCTCCTTAGAGATCAAAAACCAACAAACAACAACATACAGTTGCATAAACAATACCTTTTTTCAATGACACGAGATGATTAATGGATGATCTATAAGCAAAACATCGATCCACAATTGAATTTACACATTCCACTCGTATTAGAGTAGAACGATGATAGTAGTTACCAGCAACGCTAAATTGGGATTAAGTATAAGTTACAATGAAATAATTACGTCGGCGAAAAAACACAATACGTGCTCCTTAACTGTAAAAGGAGAGAAAAAAGTTGGTTGTATCAGTCGCAAGCTTGACAAAGACTAAAACGAACTGCTTACATGCCGTGATCAAAAAGCAATGCACGCGTTTTTTCGTAAGGTACTATCCATTAAATGAATAACCGAAGAAAGTTTACGCGTAAAGTGATTCATTGATGCGTTTAACAAAAGAGGTTCATTATGCCAGAGAGTTTTGCTTATTAGTCGAACATAATATAGTTTAATACGTGTAACGTATTGCTGTTTATTCCTGTAAACTTTCATTTTATTTAAAACTTCTAATAATCCGTTAATCATAATCGTAATTGTAATCACTCTAGTACGCGAAAATGTAAGGTATTATAATATAATTTAAATCTTTATGTTAGATTACTTTTATGGAATATTTAGTTAAAGAAATGTTTATTTATTTTTTTACAAGATCTCTCCATTGAATTAGTGTGCTGTGAGATTGCCATATCCTAGAATATGTAATCATTTATGTATTGTGATATTTCGAACAAACTACTATTTCCTTAACAGTCAGGACGATCACAGTGTATAAGACGAGTTCGTGCGAAGCACGATCAACGGATATTTCTATAGGTTTTTTTCTGTCGATATCACTCTGACTTCTCTATACAGTGCATATATCTTTAGTAATGTAAACGTATCGTTAAATTGATTTTAACGTTTGTATATGACTTCGATGTCTTTCAAAGTGCATCACCTGAAGGTACGTGCTAACGAAGTAGATTAGGTTATTATTCTTTTCGTTACGAAACTGTCGTGATAAAATTTAGGAGGAAGCCAGTTTTTTAAAACATCTCTTATAATTCGTATCGCCGACAGAGCGAAAGTACAACTATTTTCGACCAAAGAAAATAGGATTGCAAAGTATGTTATGAGTTTTAAATAAACATCAACGATTCGTATTCAGAATGCGCTGTTATGAATAGAACTTAAGAACTTTTATTATTTCGAGTAATTATTTGTAAGAAAGAATATCGATATCTCGACATCAATTTGTTGCTATTCGCTACTAAGAGTGCTAGAGATGCAGGTTATTTGATGGTACAGTATTGTATTCTAATTACGTGTTGACAATTTTTGCTCAATGCAAAAACGATTCTTGATGATTTATTTCGTTATGCAAAACATTAGGATAAACAAACTAAGCAATGCACGACTAATATCCTTGGATTAAGACATAAGGTAGTAATAATTATTATTGCTGTTGTTAATATTGTCATGACATTATTCTATGAATATTAACAACAATAATAATTATACGTATCGCATCCATTCTATAATACGTAATAACCAACCGGCACGAACGTATGGATGTGCGAATTATGAGGTTTAATTTTGGGTAGTATTTTTTATTTCTGTTATTAAGTATGTTACTCTTGGTACAAATAAATTAAAATTTATTTATAATTTCGTTCATAGGATACTTTGTAAGATAATTTTGTATGTATTTACGTAGGCGGTATTTTCAAATTGTTATGTATTAACGAATTTTTAATCAAAGAAGTAACAACAATGAAATTGCACCCGATTGTACGTGTTCTATCTATATCAACTCGTAATATTTCAAAGCATTCCGTAGTAATTATTGCAAATTAAGACCTGAAATGCTTTCTCGCAATAAAAATAAATACTGCATGATCGAGTTAAAACGTTTACAAAATAAATACAACTTTAAACAATATTACATATCCTTTGGTGTTTTATGAATTTTTACATTCTTCTCGGTTTTTAATCATACACTGGGTAACACTATTGTTATGCTTAAATCTCGAGTCTATTAAATATGTTATCGGACCAAAGACGATAAAGATACAAGTTTTGCAACGTAACAGAGTGCTTTGCACTTTTTCTAGCTCCACGTATTTTGTTCTACGTATTATAGCATAAAGTCTCGTATGTTATAATCATATATATTCTGAAGGTTTAAATATGAATAAATGGTAAGTTAATATAAAAACGATAATGAATTTTTGCGAATATCATCGACTTATTTATTTTCCATAATAAAATCTGAGTAGCACATATGTTTATAAGAAACACGACTATTTTGAAGTTCAACTTGAATGGCGTTTTGGAAAATATACTCTCCGATATCGTTACAAAGCATTTATTGAAGTTCTACTTGGCCATCGTGTTTTGATCCCCTAATTAAGTCAATTTATTCACGGAAAAGATCTCGTAAAATTTTTTCAACGCAACATTTATTTGCTCTATTGATTATCGATATTTACCTCGTACTTTGATTTTCGTCTGTTACGTTTCCTATTTTCTTCGTTATAGGATGCATTTAGAGAATCGACGAACACTGTGCTGCTTCTTTCGTTAGAATTTATATCGCTCATTTTGCCAGTGCTATTATGTGAATTTTTTAAACACCGATAGTATATAATCTAGGTGTTTAATAAAAATTTAACTCGATTAAAAAAGGGAATTTAAATATCATAAACGTGTCTGATATTGAATGACATTAAAATATGTTGTGTTTATATTTTAAACTTTATCATTTACCGACACAATAGCAATTATCCAAACAGCCGAATAAAGTGGTAATATCATCTTTGTACTTGTCAAGAAAAATTCAAAAGTAACATTGGTAGGTTATACATATAATTTTGATATTTTATAAACAAAAATGTGTGAGACCATTTGTTTTAAAAAATATTAATCAAATAGATAACTTCATGTTTTCTAATTATAATAAAAACTTCAACTTTCTATACAATACGTCATATGTACACGAATTAATGTATAAACTCTTTGTAAAACAATACATACATCACGTATTATCTTCTTTTTCTTCTTCTTCTTCTACCACCATTTGTCCTTCAATGTTTTCTTTAACATCATCTTCGGATACAAGTTTCTTGTAACCGTGTTTCTTGGAAAATACACCTAATGGTATCATTTTAAAAGTGGCTAAGGGTTTATCCAGCAATTTCTGTAACAGATAATATTTATTAGACTTTGTAAGTTGTAATTTCATATTGCATTTTAACAACCTAAATCAGTCTCTTACCAAAATCCGTGCTTGTTCAGGAGTTAACGTTTGTCCACTTTTGCATACTGTATACTCCTTAATTAATGTTACTATACCCTTTTGTAAAGCTGTAGGCATACCCAATTGTCTTAAATGAGGTTCTATGCTATGGGGGAAATCAGGCATAGGACCTTCGGGTAACGTTATAGTTTCTTGTACAACAAAACCTGATCTAGCATAATCAGCTTCTTCGTACTCTTCCATCCATTTCAATACCTGAAAAATTATTGGACACATTTAAGCGATGCATGTGCACATTTACAATAAATTAATAAAAATATAATACATATGTACCTCGTGTTTCTTTCGGTTGGTAAATAGTAAACCACATTGTCCTTTTAATGCCGCCGATAATTTATGTATACCTTCCGTAACTTCGTCTTTCGATGACTTACCCAAGGCTAACGCTATCACTTTGTTTTTACCAAAGAAAAATCGACTGTCTTTCCATTCCGCTCGTAAATCTTTAAGTTTGTTGTTTCGCATATTGTGAACGGATATAAGAAATATTCTGACATATTTTTCAACGCAATTTCTAACATCCTCTACAATTTGTTGTTTCAGGGCAAGCCCTTTCTTGCTCGTTTTAGTGAGAGATACTGTGAAATACAACAGATTTATGAGTTACACGACAACACGCGGAATTAAGTTAGGTTAGTTTTAAAGCTATATACTATGTATAAAAACAGTAAATAATAAAGTCATAGGTTAATATATAACTTTACTTTTTTTATCTCTTTTTGATTTTGGCATGTTATCAGAAAACTATGTTACAAATTCTAATAAAATATAAATTAACGATGTACGATATCACTCGGCTGAGCACGTGCTTCGATATTCGGATATACAAGTTATTTAACATGGGTTCTATTCAAAGAAAATGGCGCAAATTTACAAATGGCAAATACTCGTACTGTCGTTAACATTGTTAAGCTTGAAATTATAATTTCGAATAAAAAGTTGCACCGAATTCGTTCAAAAATACAAATCAAAATTTCGATATACAGTGTAATTTTTGCAACTGCGAAAAAATTATTCGAATGCAACGATGTGTTACATAAATCCATAATTTGAACAATAACGTACAGGATTATATTTCAGTACGTTATTCAAAAATATAAATGTAAAAAGATTTTTAATGGAAATAGGACGTTTAATCACGAATAATTTGATCGACAAATTTGAAAAACGGCAGAAACGGAAAAGTAGTTTTCGAATACACGGAAAGCGTCAAGTGAACGCAGTTCAAGATGGCAACTTCCGTTCGTTTCGTCAGTGCACTCTGTGAGATCGTAGTGGACGGGAGCCGTTGAATACAGTAAAGCCTCGATTTTCTGGGCCGCTCACAACACTCCAAAGGTGAGTCTTTTCTCCTGCATGATCGTACACGGTTAAGAGAATCGAGCAGAGGTTGTAAACGCGATGTCTTTCAGTATATCAATTGTAAATGGTACGAGATGTATTCGATCACGAGTTGTGTGAACCCCGTAGCCATGCAGGCCGCCGATCATTTTTTTTAATTGCTCGAAATGACGCATAATCGATATTTTTCGTTGCGTATTCACGATTAGGTATCCGTCGATTTGCCTTTGTTGCGTGATTTATGCATTACAACGATCGTTAGTCAAACGAATCATGGCGTTGGCAAAGTTGGTTGGATCGCGGTGTGATACGAGACGATGCGAAGTTAGTCGATTACCGCTCATATCAGTGCGACGCACGCGACGCGCCAGCTCCGAGGAAACGAGCTAATCGCCGCCATTTTATTTACATAGCCGGTGATGAAATTATCTTTCGTTCTCTAAAGATCTTTGAAACGATCGTTTTTCGCCGTTTTATTTCCGGTTAGTATTCAACGCGTTTCTAATCGTATTCACCGATTTCAATGGTACCGTCGAATGACATAGTTCACTGTACGAATACTCGCTCGGTGTTTCGTTAAATAAATTTTTTCCAAGTATTTAATACCTAATATGATAGGAAGAAATCGAAGATATATCGCGTGGCAACCGTTGTTTATTCTCTTGCTCGCGATATTCTTTAAAATCGTATAGTGTATGCGATAAACTCGTGCTCGTAAAAGTGTAGGTTCGTACGAGATACATGCATGTGCTAGAGGGTATACGCCCTTTGACAAGCGAACCGATTATCGAGCTTTCGATATTGCATCGTCTTAACCGATAAACATCGAAACCCATAGACGCGACTGGTCGATGGGTATTCAGTTTTCGTTTCTACGCATTAAACGACGGTCTAGCTGTTTGTTCTTACGGTAGCATCTTGTTATTGAACGATGCGAAACACGAATCGTAATTATTCTTTTTTCTTTGAACATCGATAAGTAGGAAGATCGGTTCATCTTTTCTTGTTAGGTTTACGTTGACGAGCATTTGGTAAATTTGAATATCCAAGGGTTAAGACCATTCGTAGGAAGTCGACGGTTCTAAAGCGCGTCGATGACCACGCAACAACGCGGATGTCCCGTTGAGCGTAATTTTTTCCCATTCAAAGAGTCTTCTTTTTGAGTCATATCGTTTATTCGATCAGTTACTACTACTTGCAGTAGGTTCGATAAGTTGACACGCCTCGTTTACGGAACATTATAAATACGTGAACGAATCATTGGAAGCCGTGGAACTCGTGCTCGTTTACGGTGTTTCGTGTCCTTATCACGCACGATTGTTCACCGTGTAATCGCGTTCGATCAAAAACGAGAATAAAGTTAATCGGCAATTTTAGCGGAAGGTAGGCGTTCGTTGGTAGTGGGGGACCGTGAACTCTCTTTCTCGCTCTCTTCCCCTACTCTTTCTCGGTCATCGAACAACTTCAACCGGGGAGACCTACTCTTTTCGCCAAGGCCGACGATAGCCCTCCTCTGTCTTTCCGTTGTTTGCCGGCTCACTCGGTCGGTTGGTTGGTCGGTCGATTCGCGTCTCGTCTCATCGTGTCACGTCGATGACGTGTTCCTCGAACGACTTTTCGCTCGTGCGTATTTGCGTAACGAACGAAGCTTCTTCGTCGTAAAGGCCGCGCATTCTTTTTTTTTTTTTTTATGACTGTTCTTGCGATCCTGGTAAACGTATCGCGTAATGCGCATCGAGTACGTCGATTCATCGGCCGCACTTTCGGATCTTATATTCTCACAATTTTTCAACGGCGAAATATATGGCTTATTTGGAACATCGCGCGTACGAGAAAACAGTCGACAACCTTGAGCAGAATTATTCGCAAACCTTATCGAATTTAATCTTTCTCCGTACTTCGCGTCAAGGCTGACTCAAAAGTTTCGGTAGTTTCGAAAGCTTTCGAAACGAGAATCGAAAGTTTACGAGCATCAAAGTTTAAACGAAATTTATATCGGGTTCATTTTCTGTACGAGCTTTTACACGGTAATTTTCCCCGCCTGTTCCCGATAGTCGCGTTGGTTCGTCGAAAGTTCATTACACTCGGGTTTTTCGTTCAGTTTCAGTAAATTTTATTTGAATTCGTTCGAAACACAAGCTTTTCCGACGTATCGCGAAACGTTTGTCGGTAAACGTGGAAACCCGTATGACGTAACTCTATCGATTCGCGTAAGTCTTCCTCTCTCTTCTACCTTTTCTTTACCTTTTCCCTTCTTATTCTTCTGCGATTTCTGCGCGGTTCTTGATCGAGTGACCAAGGATCATTTTTCCGTTCCATTCTTTGTTGATTTTTTCGAGATCTTTAGATATTTGCCCTTTAAAGTCTGCGGTCTACTTGTAGGAGTGTTCTGAAAATCGCTTTTCACGAAACGACGACGACACATTATTCGGATTTCGTCTATAGAAAATTCTCGCAAAAAGTCGAACATTTCGATATTTGGACGGTAAGGTGCGAACAATAGTAAAAGTTGGTTCGTAACCGATATCGTTGAAATTCTTTACACACGAACAAATCGATGGGGTATTTATGAAAGATTAGAGCTTGTCTTCGGAAATTTATCGGAATTGGAACGGGTAGCGCTTGTGAGGCAGGAGGTAATCGCGCGAGCAAGCAGGGGGCGATACCAGGATTTACGTAAGAACGGGTAACACCAAGGAAACGATCTCGATGTGCGCTAACAGAGGTTGCATAACCTTACCAACGACAGTTTCCTAAGTTAATCTTTTTTCTTTTTTTTTTTTTAACTACGATATCAACGATTAGCATCGCGACCTTTCTCGCGTCGATTTGAAAGAAAAACACGATGAATATTTAAACAACGATAAGCTTAATTAGATCTGAACAGGTCAGACCGAAAATCAATTCAACAAAGACGAATTAACTTGAATTATCTTGACGATATTATCGATATATCGTTAAGTATGAACGTAACTTATCGAAAGACGGCGTTTCTTCGAGAATAAAAATGCTCGTGACTGTTGCAAAGAGACGCTTCGAAGAAACGTTAATCGTTAATATTAATGCACGCGTTTAATGATGTCACAGAATCGATTGATATCACGGCATTGACACAGGGTCGGGAGAGGGGTGACCGGTTAGAATGGAACGCTCATGGAACGAGCGTGTCGAGTAGATTGGACGTTAAACGCTCGGTAGGCGATGAATCAGCGAGCATCGAAGAAATTTGTTTCGTGGAAACCGAAAGGAGAGAAGTTGTTCGGACTAGCGGAATACGAGCGCATTAAGCTCGACACAAAAACCTAACAACGGTTACAATATGTTTGCGTGTTCTCTCGCTCAATGTTTTATATCGCGAATCGAGAACGACCACATTCGATACCGAACGAGATAATTTCGTGCAAAAATGCCCCGAATCGCGCGGCGGTTACTCACGGATACATTTTTCCGGAATTAGTAGAAGCGACGAATCGCGTACGTAGCGCACGTACCGTTTAATTTTATTTTCGATATCTAAAATATTTCACAGCAAATTCGACTTGTTTGTACCGTTTCTTGTCTCTATCGATTTCGATTGGCCGTTAAATTCGCGTCGCTCTGGCCGACGGAAATGTTACGTAATCGTGTACTACGAGAAACGCGTTTCCGCATTGAAAAAGTTGACCGAATTCGATAGAGTCGTTCGCCACGACGGAGTGTACGGTTCTTCAACCTTTTACCCCTATTCTTTTCCTCTTGTTTTTCGACCCAGAAACCTGTTCCTGTTTGCGTTAAACTCGAACGTCGCGTCGCGTCGCGTTGAAGATGCATGGAACGATTCCGCTTACGTTATCGAGTTGTTGGCAATTTCGATTCGTCGCGCCGTCTTCGCTTACGTCCTCTAACCGATTCCGATTTTTCTTCTCGTATATCGTACATACGCGTCGAAGAAAATTACTCGTGCCCGCGGTATATCCGCGGTGGCAGAATGAACGCGATGCAGACGTCGAGAGTAGAGAGCAGCGGTACGTAACGCGGTGTTCTAGTTGTTTCTGTAGTACAAATACGAGCGGTAAAATATGCGTTTTATCTAGAGGTTCGTGTACTCGAGACTTAGCAGTAACGCCTTTTAACAGGAATTCAGTCTGAAACTGTAGACGAACTACAGACCTGGATCCTTTTACGGTTTTCGTTTCTGTTACAATTAGATTTTTGTGCAGGTAACGGTTATCGTAAAGGTTAGCGATGAAACGAAGGAAAGAGCAGTAGTTCGTGTATCGCGTGGGTGCGCGTATTTGGTCGGTCCGCGTGCGAACGTACGCGTCGAAGTAGCGAGCTTGACATCAGTCGCTATTCCAAGACGGCTGACGCACAAACTCGCGAGTTCATTGTGTATAGAAGCGGGGTACGCGTTAGATTCTCGTGCGAACGAGCGTACTCCCGTAACGTAAATATACCTCTCCTGTACGATTTTTGTCGGCTAATTCTCTGTGCGACTCGTCGCCGAAAGGAAAGACACAACGCGCTCCTTTCGTTTTTCCTTTTTTGGATCGAGAA